TTGTGACCAGCAGCAGCGCTCAATAGTTCCAAACAACTCTGTGCTGTCAATTCTGTTTGATTAGGTTTCAGGAGGATAGACAGCAGTTGTCTGGTAAACGTTAAGACAATATGTGCATCGACTATACTTTACAGTAGCATTTCATTCTGGGGAGAGATAAAGAGACAATGTTAATATGTTTTTCCTGAGTTTAGCCCTCAAGTATTAAACGCCTGCTATACCTTGGCTGCCTGAAAAGGTCAATGCAATTGTTAGATCGGGTCTCCACGCCAGATAATAATTAGGATCCAGCCCCGGACGCCAGATCCCGTCAGAAAATATCAGTTTGTCCAGTAACAGAACAACTAGTCAGCAGAGCTGTTGATACCCAAAATGAGTGTTTAACAGTCTTCTGTCAGTCAAGAAGTTGACCGAGGAAAGCAGAAGCAGGAGACAAAGTTGTGATGGTAAAAAGTAACAGAGTTTATTGAACAATCAATCTTAGTTGCGTATGTCTCAATGTTCAAACTTCGTCTGACCAGCACAGATTCAACATGTACTGTTATACCAAAACTGCTTCACAACAACATCCCATAAACCTTGGGTTTCCATAAACATTCCCCCTTATCTATCTCTATTCATACAGACAAAACAGTTCATGAAACCCCACAAGCATGAGATTGAACAACAATGAAAATGCATAAGCTAGGGGAAATTAATAAAAAAATATAAAACATAATAAATGAATAAACAATATAAATACTTAATATAATGATAAATAATAATAAAAAAAAAATCTAATAATAAATCATATGAATGACTAATGATTATAAAATGATTATGTGAATAAATGCTTATAAATGAATAAAAAAAACAAAAACACAACACACAATTTGCCTGTGAGGATCTAAGGATCCTTCAGTGGTATGTGGAAAATAATGTGTTTTTTGAACCTTAAACCACGTAAACACATTTCATTACACCAAATACACAAAATAAAGTTCTTTTTAGCAGCATCATATGACCCCTTTAATATATTGAAAATTCATATATTAACCCTTCCACACATGAGTTTAAAATATTCTAGCTGAGCCCCCAGCGTGAGTTTTTTTAGGTGACCGTTATTTTAGAACGTATCGCCTTATTGTTTGTCACGTGACACAACTCAGCCACAATAGCTCTGTATGACACATAAATCGCTTTTATTTCGTTTTTCCTTTTTTATTCAAAATATTGACAAACATGCTCACTATATTATGAAATATCTGATATTCCGATTCTGTAATATGTGCAAGTAAATCTATTAAACACTTTTATAGCGACCGTGTTATTTGATCTATACCGGGTGATGGGCGCCGCCATGTTAGTTCGCGCTGCATCCGAGCTGTGGGATTTACAACACGCAAATTCATCCTCTCCTCCCGAAACACGTTAAAGTAGGTCTCCGGTAAACTGGGAGAAGAGCAGAGTAAACTTTATAGTTACCTACACAATCTGTATATGATATCAATAAAAACATGTCGTCATTGTAATGATCATTATTGCCGTTTCCATAGAAATCAGCACGTATTTTACAAACTATAAATGTATGGTTTTGCTAGTATTTGTGTTTAAATGTCTGAAACCTAAAATAAGCATTATATGGTTGAAAACACTGAATATTTGTGATAATATGGCAAGTGCTCAGTGCCAGCCAAAGCAGATTTGAGTTCAGCAGTTGATCACGTGACGCACTGAACGTTCTAATCACACCGGTGTGATCGTACGCGTCAAAGGGTTAACAAATATATTGTCGTTGCATAAGGGGTGATTTACCACTTGCAAAGATTTAGTAACCCAGTATTACACAGTGAAGCTGTTCAATTAAAGTGCCATTTTCAATTAATCTGACACTTAAAAGTTACTTTCATGGTGCAACAATGAAATATTAATATTAAATTTATTTATATTTAATGTAATGTAATTAATTTGGAGTAGAATAAAACATGGACGCCTTGTTGATGCACTGAATGCCACTGTTTTCATTGGAGTGAAACTGCTCAGAAAGTTTTGAATTCAAATTCATCTTTAAATTCAAAGCCTAGTGTTCTATTTTTACTTGGCCACTATTAATATCCCGTTACTTGCGCACTATATGTAGAAATTATTTGATGCGGTTGTTTTTTTGTGTGCGTGTTTGTTTTTTTTTAGAAAATATTATGTATATGGATGCCAAGAGCCAAATAAATAAGAAATTTGAACTTTCTTTATTTGCTCTAAGTTAGGCTTCCACTTGTGTCTCTGCAGTTCCTCACAGGAATGTTGTTAAATCTGACATAGAAACACTGAAGAATCAGGATAAACCTTAAACCCAGCATAGAGGGGTTCAGTGAATGTGGTGTTGAATGTGTGTAAGTGTGTGAGTGTGTGTGTGTCAGAGATGCTGTAGAAGGACAGCGTGCCGGCCGACCAGTCCAGATACACTCCTACTCTATGAGAGGATGAAGAGCGAGGAATATCACTGCTCTTATTATTGTGCCAGACAGTGTAAATCGTATCACAACAGTAAATATTCCAGGACTTTTCATTGAGTCCAAACCAACAATCAATTCCTCCCTTCCTGTTGATTCCTTTATATGCCACTGCTACATGACCTGAGCCGCTCCATTCAGCCTCCCAGTAACAGCGTCCAGTCAGACTCTCTCTACACAGAATCTGCTCAAAGCGCTCAAATCTCTCTGAATGATCAGGATACGGCTGATGCTCTTTCACGCATGTTATTTTTTTGTTCCCTTCAGAAAGGATGAGTTGAGTGTGCACTGTGTTTGGATCCAGTGTGATATCACAGGCATCTGAACACAAAAAGGCATATCAAAACATCTACGACATTATTAAATAGGGATGCACCGAATGTTCGGCAACTGAAATTATTCGTCCGAAAATAGCAAAAAAAGCACTTTCGGTGTTCGGCCGAATAAGTGAAAATACTGCATACATTTTACCGAACAATGACGTTTTTAATTACGCGATCAAATAGCAACCAGCGTAGAGTGAGAGGCGCGCACACTTAAAAATGCAGAAAACATGTCGGCAGTGTGGAAACATTTTTAAGTGTCATTTTAAAGACGCAAAAATGGCCGTTTACAGACTCCATCTGTGATCCAGAAGTCACAAACCACATTCAACAACATATAAAAACGAAATACTCTTTAGAGTAATTTCGTGAACAAATGTGGAAAATTAGAAACAGAAAACAAAATTCAAGCCGTGTCATTTTAAATTCCAGTGCAGTAAAACAGCTGTCAGCAGGGGGTGCTGCAGCACCCCTAGTTCTCGCGGCCATAAGTAGGCTTATGTCTAGGACAAATATTTTGTGGGTTCATCCACTTTTTCGCACTGGCGCCGTTGTACTGTGGCTGCCGTCGTGGTGGTGGTTGAGGAGAGACCCCCTCATGATTGTAAAGCGCTTTGGGTGTACAGCAATACACAATAAAGCGCTATATAAATGCCTCATTCATTCATACATACAGAGTATGTTACATTCTTTCAGCAGTCAGTTATGGGCATAAAATAGGCTATTCAAGACGGGGGGCTCAAAGATGGCCAAATAAAAATATTTGTATTTTACTCATTTTAATAAATTTATTTTATGTTATATTGTGCTTTGTTGGTGTAATGTCTGCTGGAATGTTTAATTTTTTTAAAATATTTTTAAATTGTAGTTTTTTTCTTTGAAAAGCAAGACAAAAAGCAAATTTTCACTATTTAATTTATGCAATGGTGGAAAAAACTGGCAAAATCATACAGAGTATGTTACATTCTTTCAGCAGTCAGTTATGGGCATAAAATAGGCTATTCAAGACGGGGGGCTCAAAGATGGCCAAATAAAAATATTTGTATTTTACTCATTTTAATAAATGTATTTTATGTTATATTGTGCTTTGTTGGTGTAATGTCTGCTTGAATGTTTAATTTTTTTTAAATATTTTTAAATTGTAGTTTTTTTCTTTGAAAAGCAAGACAAAAAGCACATTTTCACTATTTAATTTATGCAATGGTGGAAAAAACTGGCAAAATAAATGAAAAATGTGACAAATCGTGTTCGGTATTCGGCTTTCGGCCAAGTGTTTCGTTATATTCGGCTTCAGCTTTGGCCAAGAATTTTCATTTCGGTGCATCCCTATTTTTAAATATTCATAGGTGTTTGTGTGTACGAGGACTTACATTTTCGCAGACCTGGTGTGATCCTAAAATGTCCTCCATGGTCCAAACTGAACATAGACATAAACACATATATAAAGAAAAAAATGTTCATGAATTCATTACTAATGCCTTTTCAAATGGTTTTACTATTGTGTAAAACAGAGTTTCCCAAAAGGGGTTTGCGAACTGATGAAAAGCCAATTTTTTATTTTATTTTATATTTGTAATTTTATCCTTTATTTTTCCAGGAAGGTCCCATTGCGATAAAAATAAATCTCTACTTCAAGGGAGTCCTGGCCAAGATGACCATACAAAAGTTTCACATAAAGTTTAAAAAGAATTCTAATTTATGCATTTAGCAGACGTTTTTATCCAAAGCGACTTACAGTGCATTCAGGCTATACATTTTTTTTTTGCAGTTTATAGGTTGGATCCTGCAGTTTGTGGTTGAGCAGCTGGCCTCCTGATTGTCCTGGGTGATTGTAGCTCAGATCCAGCTCTCTCAGGTGTGAGGGGTTCGAACTCAGAGCTGAAGACAAATAACCACAGCCTTCTTCTGTCAACATACAGCCAGACAACCTACAGAGAGAGAGAAGGTCTGAAATTTCATTCATGTTTACCCTTTTGTGATTGAATTACATACTTTTCAATTGTGGGCAATTCATTCCTTTAATGTACCTGTAACTAAAGTACAGTACTTCCTCATTTGTAAGTCGCTTTGGATAAAAAAACATCTGCTTAATGAATAGATATAAACATAAATGTAAACTTTTTGAATGTGAAAGTGTCAGATGACTCCTTTCTCCATTTATTTTGGGGTACCAGCTTAGGACTTCCACCTTAACCTTAACCCTCTGAAGTCGATGAATGCACCAGAGTGATCACTTGCATTTTTTCCTAATGATGAATGTTACAGTCTAATAATGTTTAAATCAAATCAAATAAAATCTCTTCACCGGCGGTGAAATTCATAGGTGCCAGTCTCTGTAACAAGGCAGTATAAACAACATGACGTATGTACAATTGACAATATACATTAAATAACAATATACACATTTTACACAAGACACACAGTATACACTATATACACAGTATACACAGGAAGTTTATATGTTTAATCTGAATGCAGTTGCAGTAATCACAGTAATAGTCAGTATTATTCACAGTAATAACGCAGTGAGGTAAATGCTTTTGTTATAGAGAGCAGTTGATGCATTGTAATGTTTAGTGCAAATAGCTTGTCAGAGTGCTGAAGAACCAGTATTTAGACCAGTGTTTACTGTAAAATACTGTTTGTGAATATCTGTTCAAATGTACATAAACATTCTAAACAATATTCTAAACAATAGTACAGTACCTGTCAAAAGTTTGGAAACATTACGATTTTTAATAAAGTCTCTTATGCTCACCAAGGCTGCATTTATGTGCTCAAATACAGTAAAACTACTAATATTGTGAAACAGTATTATAAATACCTCTTTTTTTATTGCAGTATATCATAAAATGTAATTGACTGCTGTGATCAAAGCTAAATTTTCAGCATCATTACTCCAGACTTCAGTGTCACATGATCCTTCAAGATCTCTATGAAGAATTTCAGTTAGGTTTCAGGCCCCAGCATAGCACAGAAACTGCACTTGTTAAAATTACAAATGACTTGCTTCTTGCGTCAGACCAAGGCTGCATCTCATTGCTAGTTTTACTTGATCTTAGTGCTGCGTCTGTTACTTCCTCTACAGTCAAAAATCTGGGGGTTTTATTAGATAGCAACTTGTCTTTTGAAAATCATATTTCCCATGTTACAAAAACAGCATTCTTCCATCTTAGAAACATTGCCATGTTACGAAACATGTTACCTGTTTCTGATGCAGAAAAGCTAGTTCATGCATTCATGACCTCTAGACTGGACTATTGTAATGCACTGCTAGGTGGTTGTCCTGCATCTTCAATAAACATAAGTTTGTTGTTGCGTCATATAATAATTGCTGTTAATAGTGTTCATCGTCTGTTTGATTACATCATTAACTGAATTTTACTGTACATTTCTGCCATATGTACATTAAATTGACAGTCACCACTGACAAGCTACTACTAAATATATTGAAGAAACTTAATTTTCTGTAAAGCTGCTTTGCAACGATTTGTGTCATGAAAAGCGCTATACAAATAAACTTGAATTGAATTCTAATATGCTGATTTGCTGCTCAAGAAACATTTCAGATTATTATCAATGTTGAAAACAGTTGTGCGGCTTCATGTTTATGCAGAACCATGATACACTACCATTCAAATGTTTGGGGGGGGGGGGGGGGGCTTTAAATGAAAATTAATGCTTTTATTCAAAAAGCACAATATCAAATCAAAAACAAATATTCTCGGTTTATGTAATTTGTATGAAACCAACATGAGGTACAGTTTTTCCCGTCTGAGCTCATTATCTGTAAAGTGGTAACACCCACGTGCAGGGAAGCCTATTCATCTGGTAATCATCTACGTGAGACACGCGGACATGCAAATGCTCTATCACCTCTATAAACAAAGCAGCAGGATTCATCTACTTTTTATAGTTTTTAGAAGACTCAAAATAAAGAATAAGCCAGAATTTACCTCAGACTGTGTTACATTTCGTCTAATTATTCCACAAAACAAGAATGTGAATTTTATGTCCTATAATATATGATATGTAATACAATATAAAAGTTTACACTCCAGCATGATAAATGTAACAAAGAATTTGTAAGACTTGAAGAACCTCAGACACTTTGATCTTCTGAGATACGGACAATACGCACAGTGTATTAACATCCAGACATCTGTTTCCACATCTCACTGAGAGAAGATGCGGGGGAAATTCCTTTACATTTGTTCCTTTTCATCCACTTTCTTCCCTTCAGTCAGCTCACTCAGAATGGTCAATAGCATAATATAAATGTTTAACATGAATGCAAGTGAGATTCACAATCATGTCTTGATATAATTGGAATTGTCTCAGGGTGACTGGTACAATGGTCTTAATATTACGAGAAGTAGACTAAAAGGTAATACAGTTCCTAAGAGTTAGAGATATTTTGCTCACTGCAGAGGGTGTGTCATTTCCCAGTGTCTTTCATGCAAATTACCCTCTGTCCCCAAAAGGTGCAAACTCTCCACGTCAAGGACTTGATCAATGCAAATTCCAATTCCTAGTTCCGGTCTCCATTTGGAGGATTTTTTTCTTGGTCTGAGTACTTAAGGCTGGCTGCACACTAGACGATTTTCAAATCTTAAACGATTTTAAAACCATGGGAGACCACAGACAAGACCGTTTCAACCGATTTTTACAAAAAGGTGTTTTCAAGTTAAGCAAAAGCCAGAGAAAAAAATATATGTTTTAAGAGATTTTTTAAAAGTAGATAACGTAGGGTACGATCTGATGGATAACGGTAGAGAGTTCCAGAGCATAGGACCAAGAACTGAAAAAGCCCTGTCGCCTTTAGTTTTTAAACGAGATTTTGGAACAATCAATAACAACTGCGAGGAGGATCTAAGCATTTTCGCAGGAGAGTAGAAATACAGAAGATCTGAAAGCTAGATAGGGGCAAGACAATGGAGTGCTTTGAATACAAAAACTAAAACCTTAAAATCAACACTGAATTTAACAGGTAACCAGTGAAGTGAAGCTAACACAGGGGTAATATGCGCAGTCTTTTTTTTTTTTTGTCCCCGTCAAAAAATGAGCAGCGGCATTCTGTACCAATTGTAAACGCGAAAGTGAAGACTGGTTAATTCCAGCATAAAGTGCATTTGTCACGGTCCCGTCTGTTCCCCTGCCTGTTTCTCCTGTGTTTTCCCCATGGACTCCATTACACACGATCCATCACGCTCCCTCGTCATCAATTACCCTCACCTGCCAGCGATCTCTTCATCACCAGGACATTATACTTTCTATGTTCTCCCCAATATTGTCTGGTCTCGTCTATGTGTAGTGGCATATGGTTTATCTCATGTTTGAATCTTTGTTTTGTTAATAAATCTTCTATTATTGAAGCTCTCCGTGTCTCTGGTCTGTAGCAAGTTGTGACAGCGTTACAGTAATCAAGCCTGGTTGAAATAAATGCATGAATAACAACCTCCAAATCATTATAACTAAGAAAGATTTTAAACTTGCGAAGCCCCTTAAGCTGCAAAAAACTGGCTCTGACTACAGAATTGATTTGTTTGTCAAATCTTAGTTCAGAATCAAGAATAACTCCCAGGTTTTTAACTTTTTGACGAATGTTTTCCTGAAAGGGGCCCAGAGTAGGGCTCAAATTATTTAAAAGGTGTGGTGGGCCGAACAAAATAACTTCAGTCTTTTTCTGATTTAACTAAAGGAAATAATTTTCCATCCAATTCTTGATGTCCTCTAAACAAGCCAGCAAAGAGGACACTGAATCAGAACCTGATTTTAGGGGGAAATAAAGCTGAGTATCATCTGCATAAATGTGGTATGAAACCTCTGGCTAATGATCAGACTAGCGAGTTTGTCACGGTGAGATCTGCGTAAAATGGCCAACGTGAGACACTGAGCGTCACAGATTCCTAATGAGTAAATATAAAGTGTTAACTAAAGTAATTAAGTGTCATAATAATAATAATAGGACATAAATGGACAAACAATCAATTTGTATGACAACCTAAATGTGAGGTCATAATAAAATGGAGTCAGATCAAAATTGAAATGAAATGAAATTACTTTGCACACTGAAAACGCCGAACATACAGGAAACCTCCAGCCACCATTGGATACCTTCGTTGGGCCAATTGGGTTGACCTTACAAATGTTTAGATCACAGTTTACTGTGAAATACTGTGTTCGTGAATATCTGCTCAGAAGTAGATGTTTATAATGGGCCAACCAATAATAATGTAGTTTCTAAGATATAAATATGTTGTTTATGTACTGTGTGAAAACACATACAAAAGCATATGTGCATGTATGACAGTACAAAAACTTTTTTTTCGTTCTGAATGGGCAATATTAGTATTATTGATTGCTAATATAGTTACTCCTGAAAGCAGCATGCTCTCATTTGTTTGCTTTTTTTATGCAACGACCAGATACCAGAAAACTGGACCACAAATAAGACAAACTCTCCCATGAGTCTCTTCAAATTGTTTTGCTCTGAGAGTGCTTTACCAACTCAGTGCCACAACACATGCCCAGACCGACAGGACAATTGCAAAGGGTCACAAAGACAAATGGGCAGATGTCAGCATCAGCAAGCTGTACTTCTACATCGGACTGATATTCTACATAAACATGGTTAAGTATGAGCTCCATCACTGAAAACTGATGGCGGGGCAGTTTTTTCTTCAGTGGATGGAAAAAGAAGCAGCAAATGCCTAATAGGTAGAAGAGTCGAACTTGTAGCCCGAAGGTTGCAAGTTCGAGTCTCAGTACGGGCAGGGATTGCATTTGTTAGTAGACTTCCCTCGCATAATCTAATGGCTGGATTCTACAAACGTTTTAAATGTTTATCAGACATTCAAATACTTTGATATAAATGCATAACTATGAATGACAGTGGAATATGATAAAGTACGGTGGCATTTGCTTTTCTATTAGACAGTATAGTACAGAACAGGGAGATTGGGCACTCTTGTGCATCTGCACTCAGATACTGGGTTTCTCAGTGATGTCAAAACAGTACTGTTGATGCTTACTGGCCGAACAGATCAAACGTATTGGCCAATGTTTAATGCCAAAAAAAAAAAAAAAAGCCAAATATCAACTGATGTAGCATCTTGGTGATTTGTTAAAGGCACATTTTGGTGAGTTATACCAAGACTTAGGAACAGAAACCTTGTATTGAGATCCACCAATCAGAACAATCATTACATCAATGCCTATGATCCATGATTCAAGACTTGTTCCTTTTTGTTGCTTTTTATTTTTAGCAACAATTCAAATCTGTCAACCAATATCATGCCAATTTATGATTTAATGTATGCAATAATTTAATGTATTTTTCATATTTTACTTTATTCATATCATCCCAGACTAGGCATTGGTCAGATTAGGCCCCTCGTGGCCTGCAGGTTCTATTTTTGATGTATGGATTTCCAGAAAATAGTCTCCAAAGGAAATCACAATTCAAATGATGTTTATAAATCTAGGAGCAATGGTGAGGTTAAGCAGTTGTGATCACAAAGAACTTGATGTAATGTGCTAAATGCTTTAAAAAAAAAATAAAAAAAAGTAGTCTAAACCTCCAAAGTATCAGCACTCAAACAATTTTAGACAAACATTACTACAACAAACCTCAGTATCTGCAGCTGACAGTTTGGACTCTTCAGTCCATCAGAGAGCAACTTCTCTCCTGAATCCTGCAGGTCATTGTTACTCAGGTCCAGCTCTCTCAGAACAGAGTTTGAGGATTGTAGAGCTGAAGACACACTCTCACAAGACTGACCAGTAAAATTACAGCCAGCAAGTCTATAGGACAAAATATAAATGAAAGTAGTAATTACTTAAACTTTATCACCACATAGTTGTCACGGGTAGATAGGGATAAAGCATACAGCAAAGGGGTAATTCAAAATAGAGTCTTTAATAGATAATTCCCAAGGAAACACTAGAGAACACAGAAGACACCAAAACTACCACCAAACAACATAAACGCAAGACAAGGGAACAGAGGAAAACACAGGACTTATAAACACAGGAAACGTAATCAGTGAGAACAGAAACAAGTGTGGAGCAATGGGTAACTAAGGGAACAGATTAACTGGGAACACAGGTGAACGGGAACACAGAAAATGAACCATAACAGAACAGATACAGAACTCAGCATGACAATAGTCTTAGCCAAGCACTAAACTGGCACAAATACCATAGTATTGTGAGTATTATTTAATAAAGTAACAATGTCAATGTGCCTTAACTGCAGTGAAATTTAGGTTTTTATGTGAATGTTTAAGGAGTTACCACTTACAGAGCTTTTGTGCAGTTGATCACAGCTGCTACCAGTCTTCTTCTCCCCTCATCTGATGTGTTGTATTTCTTGAGGTCCAGCTCATCCAGCGGCTCCTCTGACATCTGAAGAATGTAGGCGATTGTTGAGCAGTGAGCAGCAGAGAGTTTCTTCTCTGAGAGTTTGTCTGATTTCACAAACTCCTGAATCTCTCTGGACAGAGTCTGATCCTTCACTTCCAGCAGGCAGAGGAACAGATTGATGGATCTTTCGGTGGAGAGTCCATGTCCATTTTTGATCTTCTCTTTAATGAACTGTGTGGTTTTCCTGATGCTCTCTGAGCTGTTCTCACTAGGTGTGAGTAGATCCTGTAAGAGTCTCTGATTGGACTCCAGTGAGATGCCCAGCAGGAACCGCAAGAACAGATCCAGCTGTCCATTTTTGTTCATTACAGCCTTATCAGCCACTCTTTTATGGAGATTTTCCAGTGAATCAAAACATGCTTCTGTAGTGCTGTATACGTGGTAGTAAAACACATAGAAAGCAGCAAGAAACTCCTGAATGCTCAGATGGATGAAGCTGTAGACTTTCCTCTGATGAATCACAGATTCCTTGGAATGTCTTGTGAATATTGTGTTCTGGCTGTTTGCTCCATCAGTAAAACCTCATGTTCTTCGTTCACTCCTTCACTCTCTCCCTCTATGATGTAGAGCTGTGTGTAGATCCTGTTCAGGAGGGTTTCATTCTCTTGGAGTTTGTTTCCCTCAAATAATCTCTCATATTTGATCTTTATGCTGGTTTTGTGTTGGTCTTTGACTCTCTGCAGGTCTGCAGTCTTCAGTGTGTGTGTCTGCAGGACTGCTTCAGTTCTTTCTTGCCTGATGTGGGTCTGATAGTGGGATGTAGAGGACGGCACAGATCTGATCAGATCACATATCTCCCTCCTGTTGAAATTAAAAAGAAAAGAGCATTAAATGACAGTGATTTCAATGACTGCTGAAGACCATCAGTTACATGATTAACGGATATGATTTTGTAACCCCTGTGCAGTACCTATGCTGCATATTTTGTAGCACATTTAGTGTTATTTCATTGAATTTCTTAAATTATTATTAATCTGAGATGCACTACAGTAAATTAGGAAGTAAATGCTTATGCTAACGGTGGGTAAGAGGTCTCTACATCATTGAATTCATCACTGTTTCTCTACACAGACACACAGCTGGTTATTTTGGGTATATCCTGTGTGACGACCCTGAGTCTCCTGATCCTATTGGAGCAGAGAGTGGAAGATTTTGATTGGTTGTCAACCTGTTAATTGATCATTAGTTTGAGTATTTAAGAGTGTTCTGAGTTATTTGGGGTAGGCACTTCTAGTGGGATAAAATTGGGGGTTCGTCCGGGATTGCTACATATATAAGAAATGTATAGTGTTTCGGTGTGTTTGCCTTTGTAAATGAGGGGACCTCAGGTAGTTAGAGTGTCCTCAGCTGGGTTTCTAATCCTTCCATCAAGACACTATTTGTTATTTTAGTTTGTTATTTTGCCTTTATTATTTTTGAAGGTTATTCTGGGCGGAGGTTTTAAATCTCTGTTGCGGGTACGCTTTTGGTTTGTAATGCCAAATGTCCTCGAGTTCAGCGTTTAAATGCTGCCACGAGTCCGGTACACCTTTGAAGAGCAGGTAGGTTTTGTTAGTTCTGTTTATAGTTAGGAACTGAAGTCTCTCATTTTCATTTAAAGTAACCCTTTTGTTGTTTCTCCGCATCTGTGTTTGTGATATCTACCGAGTACGAAGATAATTTGAGGAATGACTTGTGGTAAGTCTTTATTTATCTTATCTACGGTAGTGTTTTGACCCGGAGCGTGAATGTGACGATCCCTGGCTAAGTGGCTGATGGGATTTGTAGTTCCAACGCTCTAGGTTACCGGCATCTCACGCGCTAGTTTAGCGGCGTCTCACGTGTGTTTGTTTTGCTGTGTTTGCTCTGCTGCCTCTTCTAATATAAATTTCGTCGATAATCGAGGATTTTTTCGCGTTTCCTTCGGAAATATTGTTGGAAAGATGTACGAAGGAAGAGCTGTCGCAGATTGCTGAGCGTTTTGGTGTGGAGGTAACGAGTAATGATAAGAAACTTAAAGAGACGCTGCTGAAAGTTGTGAAAGACGCGCTTGTCGAGCGGGGTGTTTTAGAGGTAAGAACTCCACCTGTTAACCCTGATACATCTTTAACCTCTCCTCTTTATGATCCTGAGCGTAATGTGAAGTTTAGTGAGATGTCTTTGCAGGAGAAACAGTTATGTGTTGATGCGGAAAAATTTCGTGCTGAGCGTGACATTTGCGCGCTAAAACAGAAAGAGTTAGAAAAGGATATTGAGTTTAAGAAGTTACAACAGCAATTTGAGTTACGTAAGCTTGAGTTATAATTTGAGAAAGAAAGAGAGGAAAGACTTTCAGTTAAGAAAACTTGAGTTGGAGCTGAATGCAAAAACAGTTGAAACTCCCATTCCTGTGTCACCTGATGAGTCTGTGCACGTTACACCTGTTTTTGATGTTTATAGAAACATTAGACTAGTGCCGCCGTTTTTAGAGAAGGACGTAGAGAAGTATTTCCGACATTTTGAGCGTGTTGCAGAGTCCCTGAAATGACCTAGAGAGTTGATAGATGTGATATGATAGAGTTTTGAGGAAATTTAACTGGCCTAGAATCAAACGCGATGGGAGTGAGTATGTACGGTCCTGCCATACTTGTCAAATGACTGGAAAGCCAAATCATGCTGGACATGCATATTTACTCACTGTGATGTGTCAGTCTACACGTTATCCTGCAGCTTATCCTCTGAGATCAATAACAACTAAGTCAATCTTAAAAGCTTTAACGAGTTTTATGTCTGTTTTTGGCATTCCAAAAACCATTCAGTATGATCAGGGCTCAAATTTTATGTCCAGACAGTTTTCTAAAGCCATGCAGTCACTCAAAGTTAAACACAATATCTTGAGTGCCTATCACCCTCAAAGCCAGGGAGGGCTGGAAAGATTCCACCAGACTCTTAAGTCACTTTTGAGATCGTATTGTGTTGAACTTGACTGTGACTGGGAAGATGGACTTCCTTGGATGCTGTTAGCTGTTCGTGAGGTTGTGCAAGAGAGCACAGGTTTTAGCCCTAATGAGTTAGTGTTCGGACACACTGTTAGGGGCCCTATTGCTGTCTTGGCAGATGAATGGAAAACATTTGATCCACCTGAGAATGTCTTAGAGTCGATAACGGAAACTACTCACATAGTCTATGAAGCTAGAGCTATTGCTCTCAGAAAATTAGGTAAGTCTCAGGAAAAGATGCAGAGGTTGTTTGATCGCAAGGTTAAGTCCAGAAGTTTTCAAGTAGGCGATCAAGTGCTTGCTTTATTACCAGTTTTGACTAGTCCATTCCAGGCTAGGTTTACTGGACCCTACACGATCACTAAGTGTTATCCAAATAACAACTATTTGATAAACACGCCTGATCGATGTAAGAAAACACAGGTTTGTCATGTTAACTTGCTTAAACCTTATGTGAGTCCTGTACCTTTTTTATCTATTGATGTTAACTACTGAGACTGTAGATCCGAGTGTTTCAGAAGCATCTGCAGAGATGGTTGACAGTTTGGAGGAGAAGAATGGTCCTTCTTGAGGTGTAGTGGAGGGGCGCCTCAACAATTCTGAAGTCCTCGCTAATCTAGCTTGTCATTTGTCTCATTTGTGTGAACCAGAGAAGACTGATATAATTACGTTGCTTCAGAAAGAGGTGGACTACTTACTTACTCATAATTTAGCAGAACCTAGTTTCAGTTCTTGGAGTTCTCCCTGCATTTTAGTGAGTAAACCTGATAATTCTTATCGTTTTTGCACTGATTACAGGAAGCTTAACTCTTTGACAAAGCCTGTTTCCCTTTGCCCAGAATTGACGACTGTGTAGACCGTTTGGATTCGATCTCCTGAAAGGTTATTGGCAAGTGCCACTAACATCTCGTACTAAGGAATTATCTGCTTTTATTACACCTGATAGTTTTTTTTTACAGTACACAGTTATGCCTTTTGGGGTTCTAAACGCTCCCGCAACATTTCAACGGTTAGTAAATCGAGTGTTGTCTGGGTTGTCTGGATGTGAAGCTTACCTGGATGATGTTGTTCTGTACAGTTCCTCTTGGTCGGAACACCTCACACAAATTCGAGAGCTTTTTGAGCGGTTGTCCAAAGCTAACTTGACTATCAATCTTACCAAATGTGAATTTGGCAAGGCCACGGTGACATATTTGGGTAAGGTAGTCGGCCGGGGTTGTGTAAAACCCATCAATGCTAAAGTTGACTCTATCTGTAGTTTCCCCACTCCAACTAACCGACGTGAATTACGGCGATTTCTCGGGATGGTGGGCCTTTATAGAGGTTTTTGTCAGAACTTTGCACGTGTAGTTGCCCCGTTGACTGACTTGTTAAGCCCAAAGAGATGTTTTCAATGGTCAGAACAATGTCAGTGTGCCTTTGATCATGCCAAGTCGTTGTTGGCCAATGCTCCTGTGTTAATTGCTCCAAATTTTGAGAATAAATTTTTACTTGCAGTTGATGCTAGCGCTTATGGTACTGGCGCTGTTCTTTTGCAAGAGGACTCCAATAGAATCGAACATCCGGTCAGTTACTTTTCAAAAAAATTCAATCGTCATCAGCAAGTGTATTCTACTGTGGAAAAAGAGGCCTTAGCCCTTGTTTTAGCCGTTCAACATTTCGAGGTCTATTTAAGCTCTGTTTGTGGTCCTATCGTTGTATATACGACCATAATCCGTTGACTTTCTTAAATTGAATGCGCGGTAAAAATCAGAGACTTATGAGGTGGAGCCTTATTCTGCAATTTTTCCACTTACAGATTAAACATATACGTGGTGAGGAAAACGTAATTGCTGATGCTCTCTCATGGGTGTAAGCTATCCCATTGGTGTAGGTTTACCTCTTCTCTATCACTCTTCTCTCTTTTCTATATATATATATATATATATATATACATATACATATATATATATATTTTTTTTTTATACCTTTTTCTCTCGCTTTTTCTCTCTTTGTCCTAGGGCCCAGGAATCCAAGAGTAGAATGGAGTGGAATTTATGGAGATGAGTATTAATGTGATTATATATATATTATGGTTTAGTATGTGTTATGGGTTTGTGCATTGTTTTGTTTTCTTTTGTCGGTTCTTAAGGGAACCTCCTTTTGGAGTGGGAGGTGTGACGACCCTGAGTCTCCTGATCCTATTGGAGCAGAGTGGAAGATTTTGATTGGTTGACTTTGTTGTCTGATCCCTCTTTTATGTTGCAACCTTAAACGAGCAGGTCGTAACACCTGCCAAACCTGATTTATGTCCCCTAATGATACTGATCTGGTATTCATTCAATAGTGAGGAACAGTGAAGGGTCAGGAAAGTGATTTGTGTGTGTGTGTGTGTGTGTGTGTGGTGATTATATATATATTATGGTTTAGTATGTGTTATGTTTTGTGCATTGTTTTGTTTTCTTTTGTCGGTTCTTTAGGGAACCTCCTTTTGGAGTGGGAGGTGTGACGACCCTGAGTCTCCTGATCCTATTGGAGCAGAGTGGAAGATTTTGAATGGGTTCTGGAGACTCTGATCTCAGCATCTTCCACCTGCTGATAGTGACAATGGCATATTAGGCCTGTCTACTGTTTGTTGTCAATTTCTGATCTCAAGCACTGATTCCTGTCTTAATGTATAGCTTGAATGCACTATACTTTTACATTTATTTATTTAGAAGACACATTTATCCAGACCAAATTACAGTTCCGAGATTCAGAAAGTGCAGGTTCAGGAAAGTGATTTTTGTGCCTCTCTGTGATGCTACTATATGAGGTACTGTTCACCCACCGACTGCAGGCTTCTGGAATTCAGTGTAAGTCAATAAAAAAAAAGCATCTGGCAAGTGTAAAAATGGCAAGTGTCTTACCTGAGGTCAGAGGTCACTGTTGCTTCACTCAGTGCAGGGGGATACATCATAGATGCATTACTCTTCACAGACACACCACTGGGTTCTGGAGACTCTGATCTCAGCCTCTTCCACCTGCTGATAGTGACAATGGACAAAACAGCATATTAGCCTTGTTTGCTGTCAATTTCTGATCTCAACCGCTGATTCCTGTCTTAATGTATAGCTTGAATGCACTATACTTTTACGTTTATTTATTTAGAAGACACATTTATCCAGACCAAATGTGACCCTGGACCACAAAACCAGTCATAAGGGTCAATTTTTCGAAATTGAGATTTATACACAAGTCAATTTAAATAAAAGCGTCTGGAAAGTGTAAAAATAGCAAGTGTCTTACCTGGGGTCAGAGGTCACTGATGCATCACTAAAGGCAGAGCTCAGATTCTTTATGGGTTGATCACAGCTTGATCCAGCAGATGGAGAACTCATTTTAAAATCAGTGTCCTGATTCTCCTTCTTCTCATGGAAATTCATTCTGGAGGCTGTGTCCTACTACTCTCATTTAAAAAATAAATAAATAAATGACATTTATAAGAAATTTAAATGAAAGTTCATATGAAATACCGCTCTATAAACAGATCCTAAGTAAACTCATCAGTGCCAGTTTTTTTTTTTTTTTTCAAATAAATAAAGACTCCAGAACAGGGTCAAAAATGTACTTTTTTTATTAAGGATCAATATTTTTTACCTTTTGTAAGGGCCGTTTTTATGATTATTTTATCAAATTTATCTGTGTTGTCTTTTATGTCAGATACTTAAATTTAATCAATTACTTCAAATCAATCAATATAGTTACCAATAAAATAAATCAAATCAAATCAAAGGTGAAACAGAAACAGAGGCATGTTTATTTACATAGACAAGTTAATGCTGTTTAAAGGTGGCATGCATGTATTTACATGACAACTGCATATTGCATTATAAAAAATGCCAGGCAGAACTGCAAAAAAAAAAAAAAAAGTTAAGAACTCTGATTTCGTCAAACCACCAGTGGGAGGTATAGGGCGTTTTCACTCTAGCACTTTTGGTGTGCACCCGGGTTCGATTGACGTCAGAGTTCGGTACGTTTGGATGATGTGAACGCTGTCTTCCGAACTCGGGTGCGCACTCGCGAACCGTACCCGAGTCCGCTTAAAAGGGGTGGTCTGGGGTATTATGTGAGTATAGGAGAGCATAAGTCTAAGTGGACGTCTATGACATGCGGAGTCCCACAAGGCTCAATTCTTGCACCGCTCTTGTTCAGCCTGTATATGCTCACAAGTCAAATAATGAGAAAGAACCCTATTGTTACACTAGTGCTCTCTGTTTAAGAGATGAAGTCGGCGACACTAACTCGTCATCTCCGCAGTATGCGCCTGTATGCATGTTTCATACGGATTACATAATCT